GGGGGGGGGGGGGGGGGGGGGGGAATTTAAGACAACATGATTTTAAGAATAAACTTAATTTGACGAAAGAAATTTGCTTTTCTCAAAAATCACGAGCATGTTCAGTATGAGATTACCACCATAGATTTAAAATTTCCAATATCCTTGGGATATAGTAATCCTATTTCCAAGCTAGGTTAGCATTTAGTTGGTCAGAGCTCAAGTATCTGCCCTTTCATGTTTACCAGGGTTGAGCAGACGAAGCATACGATATTATAAAGAATAAAATTCTCATTCACAACTAAGATTATCACTTTAGATGTTTTTACACTTCTTCCATCTAATCCACGCCCACCTTTCAAACTGGTAAATATGCCTACCAAACTCTGGCCAAACCAGTGACCATCACAAGCTGCAGTAATCCACCTAGATATAGAATCCCTAATGCCAATTCAACTAGACAAAATTCAAAAGTTCAAATCCTACATATTATCATGTCCCTAAAATCCTTAAAAACAATCCAATCCCTATCCTAAACAGAAACTATCACCTAGTCTCAGTCTGCTGAGTTTGAATCAAGATTCCTGCAAAAAAACATGTTACCAGAGTTTGTATAGCATTTATCTCTAAGTACGGTTTCATCAAAATGTACTTATTGCTGTACAAAATCATAAATGTCATCCACTCTAATTATTAAAATGAAGGAGACAAACTTTCGAGACACAGTCACAGAATGTTGTGTGCAAATTAAGGTCCTCTACGACAAAGCAGGAATTTGAGACTAAATTAAGTATACCGCCTCTCAGTTCCACTGAGAATTATTTACCTCCATGTATCTAAATTGGACAAGATCTCCAAAAGCATGCTTCTACCAGTTTAAGAGTAGCTCTCTCGAGAAAGATCGATGGAGAAATTCTCAACGTTGATGCTCAGTGAGTCAAGCCAGGGTAGCCAAAGAGTCCTTAAAGTTCTTCCCCTATTTTTGCATGCAAAATTGAAGAAACTTGAATGTTTTTGAGTCCCAGTACGCAAGAGTAGAGACTCTAGTGACGTCCATTGATTCCATTTCCCCAATGCCTGTTATGATTTCCAGGTCTCACGGATGGATTTTTTTGGCCAAGACCATGCTTGGGGAGGTCATGCAACTCCATAACCTGTATAGTTCGTTGTTTCTTGCCTGTTGGGAAGAATTATAATTGTAATCAGATGGAAATAAAACCTAGTCACATTAGAAAATTTGCCGAGTTTTAAATTCAAGTCTAAGTGAGGGTCTCACAACTTAAAACATAAAAACCAGTAGACATACAATTCTCAACTTGTTGGTAGCGCTCATGAAGCTTCCTCTTTGACACTTCAAATTTTACTGTATCAATAGCTGCTTCATCTGAAATCTTTGATTTCTAGTTTCCAGGGAAAAAGCAAAAAAATCAACCACCATCATGTAGATAAACAAAAAGCAAAAATGGTAAGCTACAAGACATTAGTACTCACGATAGTCACATCTGGTTGAGAAGCTGATGGCCTCTTAAAGATTGTGACTTTATCTGATTTTTTATGGAACTTAGTCTCATTGTTGACATTTCCTTCCACAGACAGTTTTGCAGGTCTCCCTGGCACAGATTCAGCGCAGGCAGGCTTATTTGGCTTCACAACAGTTGTTTGTGTTTTCATTATAGCTTCTGGTTTCTTCATTTGTCCACCTTTTTTCTCCTGCTCACCCTCCTTGACCTTAGGAGGAAGGCTCACCTCATGGGAAAGATGTTGTTTCCTCTTGGAAATATTTTGTTTCTCCGGTGGTGGCTTTCTGTCAATTTTATTTGTCTTCTTGAACTCCTCACTTTTTTGAAGATCTGAAACAACATCCCAAAATCAAGTCCTGAATTAAAAAGTGTGAAATTAAAAGGAATAACCAAATAGAAAAATCTATGTAAGAAAAGCACGAGGGAGACAAATTCAACTCACTTCCATCATCATCCATGCCATCAAAGAACTTTGCACAGCATGATTGAGGGAACACAAATAAGCAAAACTCAGTGAGTGTACAAGTACAAACAACAGAGTGAGTTGTTTTCTATGTAAGGAAGAGGGAGACATACCTGAGAGAGCTCCATTGAAGAGGGATTAACAAAAAAGGCTGCTTCATCCAAAGGAGGAAAAGGGAGCCCCTCCTCATCTTCAACAGTTGATGGGGGGTTCACAGAATCCGGGGTACCTCCTGCATGTATAGTCGAATGAATATCATATTGATCATTGATCTCAGCTCCACTTGAGAATATAAAGACAGAATAGGAAATGCAAATCCATTAAAACTATTAAAACCAAAATCTGGACATATTACCTTCAGCGGCTGCTGCGGTAGCATTCAACCACTCATCTACTATAACTTTCCACTCCCTGCAATAAACAACAATAAAATTAAATACGATAGGCTGGCCTTCCTAATGTGAAAAAGGGGGATCAATAATAAATTTAGCAATAGCTTTCTAAATAAATAAATGAACAGAATCCATTGTCAAAGAGTCGTGCCAACAAGCAGAAGAACCTAAAGCATTATAACTCTAAACTTTGAACTGATTAAGCTGAAATTTCAGGAATCAAAGACCTACTCAAATAGCAAATTCGACAAATGCCAAATGGCACAATTTATATCGAGCTAATAAAATCAGCGGACAAATGCAAGACCAAAGATTCGTGATCATTAAAAGAAACTAAAACGGGAATGATGTGAAACGACAACGATTTTTTGGCAGCAATATCGCCAAGAATATCTGATTGATATTTAACAAGTGTATATTTGAAATCATTTCCCATTCTATACCTCTTTTATATGACCACAACTAGAACACAGAAACCTAATTTGGCCAATAAGCAAAAGTCGCATACTCGATGAGTGTTCGGGCAAGTTGCCGAATCTGCTTTGATCCATGCTTTTGGAGAACATTAACAGCCTTGCCAATCTCCGTAACCTGGAGCATAAAGAAAAGATTAGGTTCCCTTACTGTGAATGAATTGGAATAGATCAAACAAGTAGTAATTACCTAAAAAAAATGGCAAAGAAATTATAATGACTGACAAAATATTCTATTCAAACCTTTAGGGTTTCAACGGATAAAACCATCAGTTGGAGCCGCCTCAATGAATCAAATAAGACTGAATCAGACTGTAAGGAGACAAAAAAAAAAAAAAAAGAAGCAATCAGTACCAGAGTCAGGAAAAATAAATGGATCCATTAACAAACTAATCAACTACAACTAGGCAGTTCCCCATAAGAAAGCATATATACTCAGTTATCTTCAAAGACCATCTCAAGTAATCATCAGAACTGCAGTCTACACAATCAAATTTTATTGGATCAATAAACAAGGTCCCAAATCTTTCAAATCATTTTCCTGAAAAAGAGATGTTATATTTAGATATATATTAGACCATACATCAATCTAATAGCAAATTTCTTCAAAATCTTCAAAGCCCATCTCAAAAATCCAGCAAACTACACAATCAACTAATTTGATCAACAGAAGGGAAGCATCAAAACAACCAAATTCATCTGAATAAACCCACATCGTCATACTAGTAACAAAATGCTACTATTATTGACATTTAGAAGTATTGGAAAGAGTGAAACAGAGAAGTTCAGCAGTGAGTAATGGAGATAAACCTCATCTTTATTGTTTTTAAGAAACTCTTTGATCCTCAAGACCTCTCCAAAACTCTGACTCTCTTCTTCCATCTCATTAGTCAATGCCTCAACTTCTCCAAAGCTGATACTGCTAACCTGGTTCACATTAATCACTCCATGATCATGATCACCTCTACTATTATTCACCTTGCTTCCCTTACTATCACCAACCTCCAATTCGCATCCATCTCTGTCAACCCCACTCTTGAACTTCTCATCCTCATTCTCACCCCCACCAGACACTTCCCTATCTTCTTCATCACAAGACACTGCCAACTCCACCTGATCGCACCCAAAACATTTAACCAATTTACAAGAAAACAACTTCTCAGCAATTCCATCTCTTCTCAATCTGAACTCCTTTGGACTATCTGAGGCTGCCACCATAATGGCATGTTCAATTATATCAAAAATATCAGAATCCGCAGTCCGGAAATAATTCCTCCACTTTTCCAGACGACCAGAACTGATTGTCATAACTTTAGATTGAGTCCTACAAGTCGAATTTAACACAAAAACTCGACCGGAGAATTGAGATTTTTTACTCGATATCCAGACACAGAACCCGATTCCTAGGGATTTAAATGTACCTAGAAATCGAAAACTGAATTTCGGTACAGTTTTGATCGAAAACTATCAAGAACAAGTCCCAAAACCTTTGGTTTCTACCATTTTTTGGCTCAGAAGCTTTGACGGGTAATTTGATATCAGATGAACAAATCGACTACGTCAACGGAGCAGAGTTATAGACAAGATACGATGATCGTCACAGGTGACGAAAATCAATACTGGTGTGAAAGGTTTGAATTTCTTAGAAACCAAAAATTTCCGGAAAAATTAAAAAAAAAAAGAAAAAAATCTACAGAAATCTAAATGCTTTTCTGGGAAAATTTTGGAACATAAAATCAACATCTGACCAAATCCAAAGTGGGTTTTATCAAGCATTGTTGTGGGAACCCAAAATATTCCCAGATGATCAAAGCAAAATCCAGAGAAAGTTATGTGCCAATAGTGAATATTTTGAGAGATGTTCGCTCCATCTCTCTCTCTCCCTCCCTCCCCCCCCTCCAGTTTCTCTCTCCAGAATACAAAGGTGCTGCAGAGAAGAAAGAGGGAATTTTATTTGTTTTGGATTAGATTGAAGATATAAAAGGGCAAGTGATGAGCACAAAGGACGGGTTCACAGCAGGTTCAACTCCAAAGCGGTTTCATTATACCCGGGTTTCAATACCCCCCCCCCCCCCCCCCCCCCCCC